GACCCGAAATGGAAGGGGATGGGGGCGGGGGGGGGGGGCCGGGAGGAGGGCGCGCAGGGGCGGGGGGGGCGGAGAGGAGGGCGCGCAGGGCCCCTGCCCCCCACCCCCGTGCCCAGGTCACCTGGTGTGACATTTCAACTCCTGCGACTTGTTTTCCTGAAAACTGGTTTCAGTGATCGCAGGAAATAACCGAGAGATAGTGAATCTCTAGCACACACGCGCACGCGCGCACACACGGAGCCAGGGGGCTCAGGTTTTACCCTCTACAACTACTTAACCCTTTGGCAACCCCGGGAAGAGTGGACTGGTGTCCCTCCAGGCGGGAATTGGTGTGTGGCATTGCTTTGTCCATTTTCTGGCCCTTGGAATTAACAACAACAACAACAAAACACAAACAAAACCAAACCCGCCGTGCCATCCTTTTTAGTTCGGAAGTGCCAAGGGCACAGTGGCTGCCATCCTAGTTTAGGTACAAGCTGGTGATATTAAATATTAAAGATCACACACACATGTTCTGGAGGTCAGCTTGCAGACACCGGGGCTGCGTGGAGCACCCCTGCCACTGGGTTTTTGTTTGTTTTTGGTTTTGTTTTGAAGCAGATCTCCTCACCCGCCTCCCAGCCTCCATTAGGGTCTGAAGCCTTGCTGGTCATGATTAAAGGAAAATGGCAAGAGGTGAGAAAAGGGAGCCACCTTTACGCTTTACTTCTGAAAGTCAAGGTGATGTTAGCATCCATCGCGAAGGGGCTTCTCCCTCCTCGCGGATTAGGAAATGGAGACGGGCAGGGTTAATGAGGACCAGCCTTACCTCGCCCAGCGCACAGAACCGGTTTTAATAACCCGAGCGATTCCGAGTCTTTCTAACTCACACCATTCCTTCCCAAATGGAAAGACAACTTGGCCGCTTTTACCTCCGTCTGATTATTACCTAGGACTAAAACTTCCAATACCTGTTACTTTGGGAAAGTTTTGATTTATTTAGAAAAATTGGTTTTCACCTATTTTATTTTATGGGGCTTGAACTCAGGGCCTGGACACTGCCCCTTTGCCTTTTCACGCATGGCTATCAGTTTAAGCCACAGCTCCACTTCAGGCTTTTTTTTTTTTTTTTTTTTGGTTCTTTTTGGTGGTAAATGGGAGGTAAGAGTCTCAAGGGGTTTCCTACCTGAGCCGGCTTCAAACTGTGATGTTCAGATCTCAGCTTCTTGAGTAGCTTGGATTATAGGCATGAGCCACCAGTGCCTGGCTATATCTAATTTTTTTGGGGGGGTCCGTTGGTGGGGCCTGAACTCTGGGCCTGGGCGCTGTCCCGGAGCTTCTTTTGCTCAAGGCTAGCGCTCTACCACTTGAGCCACAGCGCCACTTCCAGCTTTTTTCTTTTCTGCTTATGTGGTGCTGAGGAATCAAACCCAGGGCCTCATGCATGCAAGACAAGCGCTCTACCACTGAGCCACCTTCCCAGCCCTTACATCTAACTTTTAAAAAAAAAATTTAAAGTGTGTATCTTCATTATAAAAACATTAAAAACTAAAAAGTCAATTATTAAAAAGGAACTAACGAGTTCTTGAATAAAGATGTCATGAATCGTTAATTAGCTCTGAATTTTTGCTTCTTATAAACATTTCACAAATGGAAACATCTACCTACCTTATTAAAATGATATTCCTCCTCCTTATCCACAGATCAAAATCCTGATTCATCTTTTCAATATTTATGAGTGTGTCTTTTTATACTATTGGAAAATGATCGGGATAAACGCGGTTAATATGTCTGGATCTCTCTGTATAGCTGAGCCAAGCTTTTTTTTTCTTCTTCTTTTTTTCTTCCTCTCTTTTGCAGTTTCTAGCCCCCCCCCCCCGGGTGCATTGTTTCCCCTTTGAGTTTCAAGGAAAGGGGTGTAACTCTGGAACCTTATTACAGTGCTCCTGGAGAGGTGTCAGGTCTATGGTGGCTACATGAATACATATCAGTTTAACGGGTTCCCAGGTGATCTTTAAACATCTTCTGTAATTCAGTAAGGATTTGCCTGCAAATTAAATTACCTTCTGACAATGACAAGTGTTGGGTTTTTTATGTTCGCTGAACTTTTGATACTTAGTTTTCTAGTTAAAAAAACAACTTAATTCAAGAAAAGAAGCCGGGGGTGTTCAATTGGAGTGAGAGATTCACAGCTGGGTGACCTTGGAATAAGGACCCCCGCCCCCCTCTGTGAAGTGGCGGTTCCCGGAGGTGGGAGTTTCTGGGAGTTTCTGGCTCTGCGACCCACGGGTTTGTACCTGCTGTGAGTCCGCAGGCTCCGGGCAGGGCGCAGCCGGCAGATGTGAAGGCGGAACGGCTGGAAGAGACGCCGTCCGAGACGGTTCTGCGGAGAAGCGGGGAATCAGCCGCCGCCG